GGGAACCAGACACTGGGAACTGGGAACCTTGCACTGGCCACCTGGAATCTGACACTGGGCATCCAGACCTGGCACCCAGTACTGAGAACTGGGCACCCAGCATGGAGCACTGGGAACTGGGAATGGGCACTTCCTGCACTGGGAATGAGGCATCCAGCACCAGGCACCTGGCAGCAGGAATCGGGACTGGGAATCCAGCACTGGGCAGCCAGGTGTGGCACCCAGTACCAGGAACTGGGCAGCCAGCAGTGGGCATTTGGCACTGGGAATGGGGCATCCTGTACTGAACACCCAGCCCTGGGAATTGGGAATGGGAATTGGCACCTACAAAAGGTGCCCAATGCCAGGAACCAAACACCAAGAATCCTGCACTGGATACTGGGCACCAGGAACTGAGCACCTGGAACCGGGCACTAGGCAGCCAGACTGAGCACTGGGAACCAGGCAGCCAGACTGGGCAGACTGGGATCTCTGCACTGGGAATTGGGCACCCAGCACTGGGCATCRATCTGGCACCAGGCACCCCAGTCTGCCCGCTGGGAACCCTGTGAGTGGGAGCCAGTTACTGGGTACCCCATTTCAGATATCACAGGGGCAGTGGGCACTGGTGGGCACAGAGCAGTAACTGGGGAGCCGGGACTGGGAAATGGTTGCCACCATTACCCCAGACCCAGCAGTGGGTACTGGGAGAGCCCCTTATAGGGGACTGGGYACTGGGAACTGGGCAGGGTGCACTGGGAACCAGGTGTCCCTTACTGGGAACTTGGCAGAGTCCCAGTGGGCTGTCAGCACTGGGACTGGCTGCCCCAGACTGGGCACCAGTGACGCATTTGAATGGGTCTGGGTGCCCAGTATGGCACAGCTAGGTGGCACTGGGCACCCAGGATGGCATGGCCAGGCAGGACTGGGAGTGTGTGCCCAGTGTGGCACAGCTGGGTGGCACTGATTGCCCAGGATAGCACAGATGGGACTGGGTGCCCAGTATGGCACAACTGGATGGAACTGGGTGTCCAGTATGGCATGGCCTGATAGGACTGGGGATGGACTGGGCACCCAGTATGGCACAGTTGGCCAGGTCACCATCACTGCTGGTTCAGTGGCCACCAGGCCCCCCACAGCAGAGCCCAGGACGCTGGCCAGGCACATTTGGGGTGTCTGTATGGGAATCAGGGTGGACTGTATGGGGAGCAGTGTGTCCCAAGAGTGTCACATCCTGCGACCAGGGTATCCCAGGGGTGTCACATACCATTCTGGGGTGTCCCCAAGAAGATCCTGCTGGCACTGGGCTATCAGGATGGGGACCCTGCAGGTCACCACAGGGTGATCCCGCTCCCAGGATGGATCTGTCTCTCGGGTCTAATTTTGTCTGGTTTAATTGTTCCAGGAGCAGGAATGCTGGGACCATCCCTKTGTGGGAGCACCGGGCCCATCCCTGTGCCAGCCACTGACAGGATTTTGTCTCTGGCAGGATCAGGGTCAGAGCTGGAGGACAATGGGAAGAGCRGCAGCAAGAAACTGGACACCATGACCCTGATTAAGGAAGGTRAGCTCCTCTCTGGGGTGAAATGCAGCATTTTGGGGCTGTGGGAGCCATCGAGCTGGGGCATTGTCTGCAGTGCTGCCAGCGGCACCGGCTCTGTGCCCGCTTACCAAGCTCTCCCCACAGACATGGACATCTTCGGGCACTGCCCTGCGCACGACGAGTTCTACCTGGTGGTCTGCAACCACTGCAGCCAGGTGGTGAAGCCCCAGGCCTTCCAGAAGCACTGTGGTGAGCCAGGGAATTCCGGGAATGGCTGTTCCACCCCACGGTGCCGGGAACAGCACCGGGAATGCCATCAGGGCTGGCTGTGGGGGCACAGCCTGTGGTGGGGGGGTCTGCAGCGGTGGGAGCCCTGGTGTGGGCTAACGGTGGGCTTGTCCTGTCCCATCCCATCCCATCCCATCCCATCCCATCCCTTCCATCCTATGGATCCAATCCCGTCCCATCCCATCCCTCCTGGCAGAACGCCGGCACGGCCCCCTCAGCAAGCTCTATGCCCGTGCCACCGCGTGCCACGTCGCCGTGAACGGGCAGCCGGTGCCCGGTGGGACCCCCGGCGCGGCCAAAGCGCTGCAGGAGAAGCATCCCGGAGGCCGAGGGAGAGCCCAGCCCCTTCCCGAGCACACGGACAAGGACAGCAACCTCTGGTGAGCGCTGGGATGGGTGACACTGATGCTCTTGTGGGGTCACTTTGATCCCACCCCTCCTCCCCGAAATTCTCTCCACAGCTTGTTCGTGCCCGTGGTGAACCTGGAGAAGATTCCCAGCATTCCCAAACCGGACGGGCACGGGATCAAGGTGCCCCCCAAAGCCGTCCCCACCAACTCCAAGGAATCCCTGGGGAAACCYGCGGCTGCCGCGGTGCCCAAAGAGCCCCCGGTGCCGGCCGGGGTCGGGGGGGATTCGGCGATGCCGGAGAGCATCCCCGCTCCGGGGGACAAGGATGTGGGAGCCCCCAAACCGCCCCCCAGGTCCCACAGGAAGCTGGCGCGTGAGTCCCCCCTTTCCTTGCCGGCCATGGGGGGGGGCGGATGATCCCATCCTGGTGCCGGAATTCYGGGGGCCGGGTCTAGCAGTGGGGTAGGTACCAGGGGAGTGGCTCCCCCCTCTCCTCTGGYGGGTTGGGGGGCTCCCTGCCCTCCYCACAGTTTGGGTCACCCTATAGTTTTAGGGTCTCCRCTTGGCTGCTCCCGAGGAACGCCCACAGCAGGAGCGGGAGTTGAGGATGGATCCCCAAATTTGCATGTGTTCCTCCAAAAATGGGGTCAAACACATGTCCCCCATAAAAATATGGAGGTAGAACATGTGACCCCCCCCCAAAGTATGGGGTTGAACATGCGTGCCCCTCAAAAATACGGACATTGGATATGTTACCCCTAAAAATACGGGGGTTAAATGTGCATCTCCCCAGAATAGGAGGGTTAGGTTGAATATGTGTCCCCCAAAATAGAGGGGTTGAGCATATGTCCCCACAAAAATAGGGGGTTTGGATGTGTATCCCTCCAAAATATGGGGGTCAAATGTGTCACCCCAAAATATGGGCATTGAGTGCATGGTCACCCCCAAGATATGGGCGTTGAACACGTCCCTCCAAAATACAAGGGTGAAACGTGTGCCCCAAAAATGTGTATCCTCTGAAAATAGGGGGGTTGAACATGTGTCTCCCCAAAAATATGGGAGTTGGACATGTGTCACCCCAAAATATGGAGGCTGCACACATATCTCCCCAAAATATGGGGACCAAATGTGTTGTCCTTCCCAAAACGGGGGTATAACATGTCCCCCAAAATATGGGGGTCAGATGCGTATCACCACGAAATATGGGATTTGAGTGTATAACCCCAAAATTTGTGTGTCAAATGCATCACCCCAAAATATGGGGTTTGGATCTGTGCCCCCCCCAAAATAGGGGAGTTGGACTTTTGCCACCCCAAAATATGGGTGTTGGACACATATTCCCCAAAATAAGGGAGTCAAACTTGTGCCCCCCCTGTTCCCAAAATCCAGGAGCCAAACGCTGCTGTGCCCACAGACACTCCAGGGTGACCCCAATGCCATTAGCAGGACCCAGGTGAAAGTGGGGGGGTCGTCCCAGGGAATGGACAAAAAAGGGGGAGCTTACCCTACAGAGGGGCAAAAAGGGGAGGGAGCAGCATGTGGTGACCCCCCACCCCCTGAAAGCTTCCAAGGTCTGTTCCCCCCACTCAGAGCTGCTCCGAGGAGTGGGTGCTTCATGCCCAGCCCTAGTGGGGGGTGTTGGGGTGCCCCCACCCCCCCCCAGCACCCGCTGCCTCCGTGTCCCCCCAGGTAAGGAGTGTGACCTGAACCGGCAGTGTGGGGTGCGGAACCCCGACACCAACAAGCTCTGCACCCGCCTGCTGACCTGCAAGGTAGTGCAAAACGGGGAGGGGACACCCCAGTATCCCACCCTGGGTGTTGTGGGGGTCTTGAGCCCCTCCCTCCTGTCGCCCAGATCCACTCGGTTCACCAGCGCCGGGAGGTGCAGGGCCGGGCCAAGGACTTYGATGTGCTGGTGGCCGAGCTCAAGGCCAGCACCCGCCGAGGGGACCCCCCAAAAGACAGGAGCCCCCCCGAAAAGGACCCRCTGCACCCTGCCCTGCAGGACCCCCCCTCACTGCTGCAGCCCCCCAGTACCCCTCCCTGCCGAGCCAGGCTGCCCCACTGCCTGCACCCCCCCAGGTGAGCATCCCACAGATGTGGGGGGGGTCTCTTCTCACCCCCTTCCCACCTGAATTGGGGGAAGTTTGTGGAACAGGGATTTGGGGGGGGTCCCATCTCACTTTTTCTTACCTGAACTGGGGGGGGGATGTGGTCTGGAGCAGGGATTTGGGGGAGGGGTCACATCTCCCCTTGCCCCAACTGAATTTGGGGGGATGAGGATGGGAGTGGGGATTTGGGGGGGCTCTCATCTCACCCCTCCCCACCTGAATTAGGGGAAGATGTTTTTGGGAGCTGGCGTTTGGGGGATCCCATCTCACCTTTCCCCACCTGAATGGGGAGGATGTATTGAGAGGGCGGAGATGGGAGTGGGGATTTGTGGGTGGGGTCCATCTCACCCCCTCCCCACCTGCACTGGGGGGATGTGGTTGGGAGCAGGGAATTGGGGGAGTCCCATCTCACTTTTCCTCACCTGAACTGGGGGGTGTGGCAGGGCAGCAGGAACGTGATTGGAATTGTGGGGTCCTGTCTCTGCCCCTCTGCACCTGAATTGGGAGGGGAAGTGGATGAAAGTGGGGATTTTGGGGGGTTCCATGTCACCTTTCCCCACCTGAACAGGGGAGCACATTGTAGGGATTAGGAGTGGGGATTTGGGGGGCTTTTGTCTCACAGTGACTCCCCCGGGATCGAGCACCCCAAAACCGCCTCTCCGGTGCAGGGCCCAACTTTCCTCTGACAGTGACCCAGAGGATGCTCCGGCCACCTCTGGGGGGGAGGGGAGCACAGTAGGCTTCCCCCTCCCTCTGCCCAAGGTGGGCAGCCGTGTGTCCAGCGAGGAGAGCGAGGAGGAAGGGGGCGAGGAGCCCCCCCGGACCCCAATGCGCCCACCACGGCCCCAGGCGGTGAGTGAGGGGAGCCCAGTTGGGGCAGGGACCCCCAACTCTGCCACCAACCAATCTGTGGGTCCTGTTCCCTGCCCCGTGGTTGAGGCGGGGGTTTGGGGGGGCTGCAGTGACCCCAGCATGGTGTCCCCCCAGTTCTGCACCTTCGGGAGCCGCCTGGTCACCCCCGGCTGTTACGTGTTCGACCGGCGGCTGGACCGGTTCTGTGCCGCGCTGGGCTCCATGCTGGAGCGGCACCTCAGCGCCCACCGCTGGAGGTGAGGGGGGTTTCGGGGTGCTGGGGGACCAGGGGACAGGGCCCACCGCTGGAGGTGAGGGGGGTTTCGGGGTGCTGGGGGACCAGGGGACAGGGCCCCACAGGTGAGGTGAGGGGGGGTTTTGGGGTGCTGGGGCGCCAGGGGACAGAGCCCATGGGTGGAGGTGGGGGGGTCCCAAGGTGCTGGGGGGGATGGGACGGAGCCACCCAGACACAGTGAGGGTTTGTGCTTTGTGGGGTCCCAGCTCGGTGTTGGGACTGGGGGGAGGAAGGGAGGGAGGGGGGATTTGTGGGGGTCTTGTTGCACCCCCTCCCTGTTAAATTTGGGTGGGATAAGGTGAGGATGCAGGGATGGAGTGTGAAATTGGAGGGTGTCTCATTTCACCCCATTCCAATCCAAACTGATGAGGGTAAGGTGGGGATTGGAGGGATGGGAGTGGGGATTTGGGACCCCCCTCCCTACCTGAATCAGGGAGGATTGGGGGGACAAAGATGGGAGTGGGGATTTGAGTGGTCCCATTTCATCCCCTCCCCACCCAAACTGGGAAGGACAAGGTGGGAATGCAGGACTGAGAGCAGAGATTTGGGGGGGGGGGGGGGGGGGGGGGGCAGGAGGGGGAGCTGTTTCCACCCCCTCCTCACCTGAACTGGGGTGGAACAAGGCAGGGGTGTGAATGGGGATTCCAGGGTTTGGAGGGATGGGAATGGGCATTTGGAGGGGTCCCATCTCACCTTTCCCCCCCTGAATTGGGGCGGAACACGGTGGGGTTGGAGGGCTGGGAGTGAGGATTTGTGGGGGCTCCCATCTCACCTTTATCCCCCTGAACTGGGGGTGACAAGGTGGGGTCAGAGGGATGGGAATGGGGATTTGGAGGGGTCCCATCTCATCTTTCCCCTCCTGAACTCGGGGAATGTTGTTGGGAGCAGGGCTTTGGGGGGTTCTCCACCTCACCAACGCCGTTCTTTCCCACAGGAAGATCCCTCCAGCCGTCGTTCCCCCTCTTCACCTCCCCGCAGCCCCCCCCAGCCCCGCCGCCCCCCTTTACGGCCCCGCGGCCCCCTCCCCACCCCTGCGGAGCCTCTCAGCGGCCGGGGGGTGCCGGGTCCCCACCAGCCTCACCTACACCGTGGGGTCCCCGCCCGCGGCCGCCGCCTGCAGCCAGCCCGAGTGCGGRGGAGGGGGCACGCAGTCCATCACCTCCCCCCTCCCCGCCAACACGCCCTCGCCCTCCTTCAGCAAACTGCCCCCCAGCAAGGCCAGCAAATCCCCCCGGGCGCGGGAGGCGTCCGGCGGGATGGACACGGACCCCCGGCCTTGGCAGCCCCCGCTGACGGCCGGCAGCCCCCCGTACAAACGGACCTGTTTGGGGGACAGCGTTAAGGGCAAAAGCCAGGCCTTGGCTCCCCCCGGCAAGACGAAACTCACCCCCCCGGCTCCGCCCTCCATCGCCCTCCTCAACGGGACCCCGCGGGTGCGCCGGCCGCCCCCCGCCCAGAGCTGCCGCGGYCCCCCCGCCGCCCTGGACCCCCAAACATCGCCGCTGCACGGGCTGGGGGGGCCCCCCCGGGGGCTCTCCGACGATGAGGTGAAGAAGCGCAAGAACGCGGCCACCTACTGCCGACCCCTGAAGCCCAAAGCCGCGCCCCCCCTGCCCGGCCCCCCGGCCCCTCCTGGCTCCGGCACCTCCGGCTCGGGGGGCTCCGTCCGCAGGAAGAAGCCGGGGACGCCCCTGGGTTTCGAGGAGAAGAGGAGCGTCCTGAAGGTAGGGCTGGGAGTGGGGGGCTGGTGAAGTAGGGGGAYCCCTGTCAGAGTCACTGGGACCAGCAGGCGATGGGGTGGAGCACCGGGATTGGGGTCATTGTGCCCTGAGAGATGCCCTGTCCTGGGGGGGACACCGTGGTCTGGAGCGGAAAACCACGGGGACATCCTGGTCTGGGAGGGGGAGAACACTGGGGGACACCACAGGGACACCCTGGTGGGGGACACTGTGGAGCTCCCCGACCCTAGGGACACCCTGTCCTGTCGGGGACACCACAGGGACACCCTGGTGGGGGACACTGTGGAGCTCCCCGACCCTAGGGACACCCTGTCCTGTCGGGGACACCACAGGGACACCCTGGTGGGGGACACTGTGGAGCTCCCCGACCCTGGGGACACCCTGTCCTGTCGGGGACACCCTGAGGAGCTCCCCAACCCTGGGGACACCCTGGGCTCCCCGAACCCCGTGGGGAGTCCCCGGGGGTCCCCACCATGCCCTGCCCCCCCCTATGGTTGACTCACCCCCCTCCCCCCGCAGTCCAAAGCCCATTAACAGAGGGGTCACTGGCCCCTCCCCCTTTGTCCTCCTCACCAGGAAACGCCAGAAAACCGATGAAAGGGAGAAAAAAAACATCCCAAGGAAACAAGAAGGAAAATCCCAAACTTCCAGAAAATACCTCAAAACTCTCAGTTCTGTTCTCTTGCTGCTAAACCAGCCCCGGGACAGGGGGGGGTCGGCACTGGGGACCCACTCGGACCTCCCGGGGCCCCGTCGGCCGCGGATATTTATAAGAAACGGTTGTTGCTGTTTTTGTTCTTTTTGTAAAAAAAAAACAAAGAGAAAAAAAAAATAATTGCGTAGTGGGGGGTAAGGGAAAGGAGGTGCTGGGGGTTGGTGGATTTGGGGGCTGTGGGGAGAGGGGTGAAGGAGGGGGCCAGGGGGTCTTTGGGATCATTGGGAGACAGGGGGGGCTCAGTGGGGCAGGGAGGTACTGGGGACTGTGAGGAGTTTTTGGGGTGCTGGGGGGTGTCATGGGGGAGCTGGAAGGGGTCAGTGGAGTTGTTTGTGTTGGGGGCAGTGGTGTACTGAGGGGTTTATTGGGGGGCTATGGAGGTTTACTGGGGGTACTGGGGACTAGAGGGAGTCTTTAGTCTGGTAGGCGGCTAACACCGGGGAACTGGGGGGGGCTGTGGGGCCGGGCAGGAGTTCATAAGGGTCTTTGGGAGGCTGAGGGGGTCATTGCGGTGCTGGGATGTTACTGAGGGGTACGGGGGACTAAAGGGGATCTGAGGAGTGCTGCGGGGTGGGCAGGACACCCTAAGGGTCTTTTTGGGGCTGGGAGTTGGTCAATGGGGCCATTGGAGATCTGGGAGTTCACTGGGGTAAATAAGGTCTTTGGGGTGATGGGGAGGCTCAGTGAAGTCACTGGATGGGGGTATACTGGGGACCATAGGAGGTTTTTGGGGTGCTCGAGGGTGAGTGGGGGCCCATGAGGGTGAGTGGGGTCATTGGGGGGGTGAGGGGGGGGTCATTGGGGCTTTGGCAAGTTGGGTGGGGTTAATAGGGTGCTGGGGAGGCTTAGTGGGGGGTACTGGGAACCATGGGGGTCACTGGGGTGCTAGGAGGGTAGAGGACCATAGAGGGTCTCAGTRGGGTCAGTAATGGGCTGAGGGGATCAGTGGCTTGCTTGGGGAGGCCTTGGGCTGTTATTAGTGTGCTGGAGGGGCCTGTGGGGACGGGCAGGGGACTGTAAGGGTCACTGGGGTATTGGGGGGTCAGAGGGGTACTAGGGGGGTCAGTGGGGTTATTGGGGTGCTGGGGGTAGAGTTCAGTGGAGTGGGGAAGTCCTGGGCACCAGGGGGTTACTGACTTGTTGTTGGGTGGGTTAATGGGGTACAGGGGACCATAGGAGGTCTTTGGGGTGCTGGGGGGTCATTGGGGTGGGATGAGCATGGGGCTGGCTGCAGGCAGGTGTCCAGAACCCCCTTCCCAGCACAGCTGGTTGGGGTCGGGGTGAGATGGACCCTTGGGTGGGCGCACTGGGGTGACCAGGGTGCCTCCCCCTCCTCCCCCACCCCCCTGCACCCCAGATGGGGGCTGGGCAGGGCAGCAGGGCCCCCCTTACCCCACGGGGGTCCCATAACAATGTCACCCTGTCCCCACCCCAACCCCATCTTGGGGACACCCCTCTGAGTCCCCCAAACCGACTGAGGGTTGTGCAGGCATGAGGGAAACACCTTTATTTTGGCCAAGGCATCGGTGGGCATTGCCCAGTGCAGCGGGGAATGTCCGGGGTAGGGGCACAGGAGACACAGGCTGGGCTGGCACAGGGGGTCAGGGGGGGCACCACCTTTTTGGGGTGCCAGAGCCCCCGAGGTTCCACCCCCTGCAGGGGAGAGGGCTTTGCTGGCGGCTGTGGGTTGCAGGGGGGGCAGGAGGGTGTTGGGGTTCCCCAGGGGGTTGACACACCCCCGGTGTCCCCCCGGGGGTGGCACATGCTCCCCGGGGGACTCATGCTTGGCCATGCACATGCCAAGGGGGGCCGGGGGGATTGGGGGGAACAGGGCCGCAGGGAGGGGGGGTCTGCCTGGTGCTGCCAGCCCTGGGGCTCCTGGCTGCCACTGTCACTGTCCCTCAGTCCTCCGGTGGGGCTGATGCCCTGCAGTTGGTGGCCCCACTGTCCCCATGGAGATGTGTCCCTGTGGTCTTGTGGTGACCTCAGCAGGGGCCAGCGGTGATGCTCAGTCCTGAGGGGCAACGGTGAGACCCCCAAAAACGGGACACRGTGGTGGGAGTCCATCTCTCCTGCCCAGGGACAGGTCACAGCAGGAGTGTCCCCATGGGTGTCCCCTCACACCCTTGTCCACTGCAGTGCCACGGTGACCTTGGCAGGGGCCAGGGATGGTGCTCAGTCCTGGGGGGTGATGGTGGGATCCCCAAAAGCTGGGCACACGGTGGTGGGGGTCCGGCCACCCCTCCTGCCTGGGGACAGCTCGCAGTGGCAGTGGGGACACAGGATGTCCCTGGGGACTCTCTATGGTGTGTCCCCTCACACCCTTGTCCCTCGCAGTCCCTCAGTGATCTCAGCAGGAGCCAGGGACRATGCCCAGTCCTGGGGGGCGATGGTGGGATCCCCAAAAGCTGCAGACGTGGTGGTGGGGCTCTGGCCACCCTTCCTGCCCAGTGACAGGTCACAGTGGGGCCCATGGTGTGTCCCTTCCTTGTCCCTTGTGGTTGCACTGTGACCTTGGTGGGGGCCAGCAGCGATGCTCTGTTCTGGGGGTCAGTGGTGTTGCCCCCCAAGTTTGAGGACATGGCAGTAGRGGTCCACCCCTTTTGCCCATGGTGTGTCCATGGAGAACAAGTCACAGCAGCAGCAGGAACACAGGGCATCCCAGGGGACTGTCCCCACCATGTGTCCCTTCACACCCTTGTCCCTCACAGTCCCTCTGTGATCTCAGTGGGGGCCAGGGATGATGYTCTGTCCTGGGGATGATGGTGGGATCTCCAAAAGCCAGGGACATGGTAGTGGGGGTCCGGCCACCTCTCCTGCCCAGGGACAGTCACAGTGGAGGACAGTCCCCAAAGTGTGTGTCCCTTCCACATCTTTGTCCCTCACTGTCCTATGGTGACAGTGATCTTGGCGGGGGCCAGCGGCAATGCTCAGTCCTGGAGTGTGATGGTGTGACCCCCCCCCAAGCTGGGGACACGGCAGCGGGGGTCTGGCCACCCCTCCTACTCAGGGACAGCTCACAGTGGTGGTGGGGACATGGGGTGTCCCAGGGGACCGTCCCCACAGTGTCCCCTCACACCACGATGGGCGTGTCGGAGAAGACGGAACTCACCGAGTCTGGATCCGACACCTTCCTCTGCGCCTTGGGGCCCTGCCGGGGGGGCATCGGGGGCGTCCCCCCACCCTTGAACCTGCCGTTCTGCCCCGTGCCGGCACCGGAGGCGACACGGGATCCGCCGGGTTCCCCGGTGCCCCCGGCGTGGTTCGGCGTGGTGCTGAGCACCGAGGAGTTGATGCTGTCGTCGCGCGGCGCCGGCGGCTTCTCGGTGCCGCGGCAGCAGCAGCAGCGGCACGGCGTGAGGTACAGGTAGATGAGCACCAGCACCACGCTCAGGATGCAGCCCACCAGCGTGGTGTAGGCCGTGTTCAGGGTGTCGTGGGGGCCGTGCAGGGTGAAGTTGTGCACCAGCAGCTCCACGTAGATGGTCTCGTTGAGGAGGGGTCCAGCCACCAAGCAGGCGTAAGTGCCGGAGTCCTCGGGGCGCAGCGCCCGCAGCTGCAGGCTGCCGTTGGCCAGCAGGACCACRCTGCCATTGCCCCCGTCCCCCAGCACCCGCTCCCCGCCCGGCGTCACCCAGTGCCGGCCGCGCACGCCCTGCCACCGGCTGTCACAGTTCAGCATCACGCTGTCCCCGAGGTGCGACTCCAGCACGGCCTCCTGCACCCTGCTGCAGTTGAGAGGCTGCCGGCCTGCCAGTTCCAGGATCCTGATGGGAGCCGTCGTTCCGGGCAGGACGCAGCGCAGCTCATCCTGGAAATCCACCACGGCRCTGAGGCGGCGGCGGTGGCCGCGGTCCAGCAGCTGGAAGAGCGGGCAGTCACAGACCAGTTGCGGGTTGTTGTGCAGGTAGAGGCGGTCGCGCAGCCAGGCGGGCAGCGCCTGCAGCTCGCCCGAGGGCACGGYCCGCAGCCGGTTGGCCGACAGGTCCAGCAGCGCCAGCTGCGGCAGCCGGCTGCCCTCCCGGAGCAGCTCCAGCGGGAAGCGGGCGATGCGGTTCTGSCCCAGGTAGAGCTTGCGCAGCCGGCCCAGGTTCTCGAAGGCCGTGCGATCCACCGTGGTGATCTCGTTGTTGTAGAGCAGCAGCACCTCCAGCTCGCCCAGGTCGCTGAACAGGTTCTCGTCCAGCGTCCGCAGGCGGTTRGAGGACAGGTCGAGGTGGCGCAGGCGCGGCACGTTGGTGAAGGCCTCGGTGGACACGAAGGTCAGCCCGTTGTGGCTCAGCAGCAGCGCGTGCARGTGTGGCAGCCGTGCCGGCGCCCAGTCCGCGCGCAGCCGCGTCACGTTGTTGTGACTCACGTCCAGGACRGCGGTGAAGCGCGGCAGCGGCGCCGGCACCGCGCTCAGGTTGGCCTGCGAGCAGCTCAGCAGGTTGGAGGCGCAGACGCAGCGCGGGGGGCAGGTCCCTCCCGCAGCCCCTCGTGGGGACAGCAGGGACAGTGCCAGCAGYAGGGACAGCGGCCCCATGGCCACGCACGGGTGACAGGATGGCAGCATGATTAGGATATGCAGCGTGGAGAACAAGGGGCAMGAAGAGGCTTCAGTCACACGGTGTCACGATGTAGAGTGGCTTGGTCACCCAGTGTCACWGTCCAGGGTGGCTTCAGTCACACAGTGTCACAGCAGGTGCAGGATTTGGGGCTTACCAGGTGTCATAGTGCAAAGTGGCTTGGTCACTTGGTATCACTGTCCAAGGAAGCTTCAGTCACTCAGTGGCAGGTGCCAGGCTGGTCGATCACTTGGTGTCACAGTCCAGGGCAGCTTTGGTCCGCYGGTGTCACAGCACAGGGTGGTTTGGTCACCCACTGTCACAGCATGTGCCAGGATCAGGGCTCACACAATGTCATGGTCCAGGGTGGCTTCAGTCACATGGTGTCACTGCAGGTGCTGGGCTCGGGRCTCACCCAGCCTCATGGTGCAAGGTGGCTTCGGTCACTTGGTGTCCCAATCCAGGATAGCAGTGGTGCAGAAGAGGTGGCTTTGTCACCCAGTATCACAGCATGTGCCAATCTGGCTGCTCACCTGGCGTCATGGCGCAGGGCGCTTGGTGACGGGTGTCACTGCGTTGAGGGGTCTGGCACCAAGTGACATGGTGTGCACCCAGTGTCATTGCTTGGGGCAGCTGTTGGTCCTCCAGTGTCACGACATGGAGTGGCTTTGTGCTCGTGGTCCCTCGCTGTCACGGCTCAGGGGGGTCGGTCCCCTCGTGTCACAGCGTGCCCCTGGGTCACTGCCCATCCAGGTCACGGTGTGGGGTGGCTCTGTCCCCGCAGTCACGACATGTCCCCACTGTCACGGCTCACCCGGGGCACGTCTAGCCCGGGGGCTCCTGCCAGCTCCTCCCGCCCGGATCCCCCCGGCCCCCCGGTCCCGTCCGTGCTGTGCACGGAGCGGCAGAGGATGCTCCCCGCCTCCTCCCTCCTTCTTCCCGGGGCGTTACCAGGGCTGGGCTCGGGCCTGGACCGGGGATGGGGCCCGAGCGTTACCGGGCCCGGTGCGGCGGCGACCGGGCAGAGCCGGGCCCAGACGAACCGAACCGAACCGAACCGAACGGAGCCAAGCGGAGCCGAACCAAGCCGAGAGAAGTCGAACCGGCCGAGCTGAGCCGAGGAAAGCCGAAAGAAACCGAGCGGGCCGCGCCGAACCAAGCCGGGCCGGGCCGGGCCTGGCCGAACCTCCCCGATCCACCCCGAGCTCAGGCGAGCGGAGCCGAACCGAGCCGAACTGAGCCGAATGGTTCCGACCCGGCCCGAACGCAGCCGAGCTTTTGCGAGCGGAGCCGAGCTCAGCCGAGCACAGCCGAACGGTGCCGACCCGGCCCGAATAAAGCCGAACCTCCCCGATCCGCCCCGGGATGGGGTCTGGGGGCGGGCCCGGCGCGCACGGCCCGTTCTCATTGGCTGCCGCCGCACCACCCTCCGCCAATGGCGGCAGCGCGCGGTTTAACCCGCCGAGTGCCGCGGGCGGGAGCGGCTCCGGCCCGTCCCCACCTCCCTGTCCAGCCTCGTGTCCGGCCCTGGCCTCATCCCTTCCCAGCCCATCTTCATTTCCCTTTCCATCCCCATCTTCCTCCCCACCCCCATGCTCATGTCTCTTTTCATTCCCATCCCTATCCTGTGTACCCATCCTCATCCTTATCCTCATCCCCACTCCTGTCCCCATCTCCAACATCCCAATCCCCTTGCGGTCCCTATAGCCCACCCCTATCCTCACTTACCTCTCCCCTA